ATCTCTTTACAAAGAGACTAGCTTATCGAGTTATTGAGATAGAACGAAAGTTGATATGGTGAGTTCGTAGTGTGGTAAACACGTTCTTTTATGCAATTTATTCTGCTGAAAATGTTTTGAAGCTTAATTCTGAAAATTTAATTTTTCATTCGTAACTTCGTACTATGTCACTCTAGAGTTAAAATCGCTTTCTCTTGTTACGCATTGAAATCCTCAAAAGACCTCATAGTGAGACATTCGGGAATTTGGAATCGCTAAAACAATATAATTGAGATTTGAGGAGTTAAGAAGAATAGACGCGCTTGAAGAAAACAGTTACTCTACATGGAATAATTTAAATTCATTGCCATTCAAAATCGTAAAGAGACAGCTAGACAATAACATAAACTGGAAGGTGGTATGAAATTAAAGTTTTTCAAAGTACTTTTCATTTCTGCTGCAAGCAGTGGCGAGTAAATTTGTTTGTGTTTTTAATTGTGTACTTATCTCACGAACTGGCTCCCATCTTAGTTACTACTGTCTAGAAAACAGGCAATTGTTAGAAATTATGATAATTCGTGTAAGTTAAATAAGGATAAAACGTTTTATCCAGAGTCTTATAAATATAGATTTCAAAGCATTGCTTGAAATAATATGCGATTTGTTAAAATCCAGAATAAACGAATATAACAACTAAGCTAACGAAAGCAAATATAATTAATCCCGTGATATATTACATTTATTTTCGTTGGCAAACGAATGAATAAACATTTCACTACAGCTTTAAGTAACGTTGGATTTAAAATAAATAAATTTAAGTTGATTATAATGTAATTAGTAAGATTTCGTGAAAGCGATTTCAGAAAAGAGTGCATCTTTATGTTATCAGCTACAAAGGTAATGTTAAGAATAGTTAGTTATTTCAAATAATGAAACCACATTATTATGTTAGGCTCAAGCGTTATAAATTGCATTGTTTTGAATTCTTGATAAAGCAGATACTGATTTCCCAAGACTGATTAACTTTTTATATTCGACTTGCTAATTTTGTCATGTGTACGAAGAATGAGATAAAAATATTAATTTTTACTTCTTTTAATGTGCGATGTAAACAGGAGCAAGATTCCCTTAGAAAATACGTCATGAAAAATATTCCTTATAGCATGTCTCTTGAGTACCTTTTCGTAATTAAATCTAGAATTGTATAGCTTTGTTTATTCTTTTGAATACATTAGTGTCAAAATTAAAACAATGGTAATGGAATTAGTAATAGTATGGTAATTCCGCAAGGAAATGTTTCTTGAAACATAGTCGCATTACATAGCAAATGTATTGAATATACCATGAGGAGTGGGTATTGCATAAGCCTTTTGCTGTAAAAGGGAGTGAAAAAGGAAATAAAGAGCATAAGATACAAGCTGTTTTCTTTGCAAATTAAATTTCTGAAATGGAATTAGAAACCCATTTGTTTCACGTTGGTTCACTAGGGCAAATATGCAAATATCACAAAGTAGTTACAAGAATGGAAATTTCAAAGTTAAAATACACAATTTAATGTCAATCCTCTTCTCGTACTATTAGTCTGGGCAAATGTTTAGGGCAGAGAAATATTTTTCGAGAATCTAGATAAAGTTTAATTACATCATTTACATACTACAACGATGTTACTTAGTTTGTTAAAGAGATGTGATACAGCAAGTTCATTGTTTCTTTTCCAATCAGCATTTGCAGATTCTGAAATAAGAGTGTTAAAAAAATAAAGTTTTATAATACTTGGATGTAGCAGTTTTTTTAGATATATTTTCTGTGCACTTTAGAGGGGTTTACATGTTAATATTAAAAACAAAAACGTTGTATTATAAAGCTTAATATATACTGTTTGTTTCTCGCATTAATTATTTAACAGAACTATCTCCCACCTTTCTCATTTCTACTGCAAGTAGTTGCGAGGATATTTGTTTGTATTTTTAGTTTTCTATAATAAAACGCTTTTCTGATATGCTTTTTATAACATCCTTTACAAAGCCGTCTTTCCTCTTAACCCAAATCCGTTGCGTGCTTTGTCATAATCCGAACCTAAATAATTCAATTTCAATATACTGTGCTCAGCAGAACAAATCTCATATTGTTCAAACATTAGAGCTAACAAGCAAGAAATGACTAACTACCATTTTGAATGCATCCTCGGAAGCTGCTAGTAAACACTTGTTCTTCGTATTGGAGTAGTTGCTATTTCCTAATGTCTTTATTCCATAACAATGCTTCTCAATATAATGCTTCTCAAAGATTAAGAAATTGGGTGAGGTTATTTGAATACAGCAACACACGCAAGGGCTATCTTCCTAAGGCGAAGGATATCTTGAGAATGATTCCTTTTAGGTTCCAGACGAGGTTAGGTTTTGTCTTCTATGGAACAGGCCGCTTAATGAAATTATGTTTAACAAAAATCTATATTTATACTTTCAGAAATATTAATGACTTTTTATAGTGGTGACCATGAAAAGGTTAACTTCTGCTAATTTAGGATTAATCTCAGGAATTGTAGTGACTTCGGACTGAAATACAAGTTATTAATCGCTTTTCCGTTATCCATATTACTAAGTCCATGAATTCCTGCATAACAAAGGCATAACAAAGTATATTTTCTACGAAAAGCGCCTTAAAGCTTTTAGAAAGTACCATGGTGGGCTGCAGTAATATGAACCGGATTAATAATGTATCTCACACTTGTTCCATCGGATTTAAATAGGGAATGTGCAGACCATTCTATCCACTAGATTCCTTTAGTTTCAAGATAATCCCTCATTAGTGCAGCGCGATAGGCTTTCGCACTGTGATCCATTAGAAAGAAATACGAATATCATGTTAAGTAATTTAATATAAAGATCACGAACACGATCTGAATATATATCATCAGTGCGGTCATCTAGAATACTGCCCATTCATACCATGATTTTATCAGTTTTGTACCGATGACATTCAAAGATAGTTTCTGGCGTATTATGTGTATTTTGCTTCTTTATGATTGCAAGTCGTCCAAAATCATTCTCGAAACAAAATATGTACTTATCACAGTCCGTGGTATTCCAAACACGCTTATATCTGTACACCGCATCCAAGTGTTTCTTGCAGTCCGAATTAGCGGGGCACAAATCACGGGTTTCCTTATATGCAGCCAATATTTATGCTGCCTGTCATTCAAAGTATATCTAGATGGTTGAGTACTTGTAGCTGCAAAGAATACCCTGGCGATATGAGCTGACTTCAGTTGTACATTTTCTTTTAGGAAACGTTGCTAAATAATGGTCCTGAAAATGTGTTGTGGTGCATTTTTGACTTTGCGTTACTAATTTTCCTATAAAAGTGCAAATGTGGTATCTGTGATGTCAGACCTCACGCCCATTTAGACACGAGGCGTGACAAAGTAGGAACTTCACATTTGATAAACGATTGTCGTTAATGAGACACAGGATTTAAATTCAGAGACAAATTTAGCAAAACGACGAAGCGTTTTGAACTAGGTTTCCGTCTTAATACTGGATTGCAAGCTATCATCATCTTCTGTGTTTTATGAGCTGAGATTTGTAGTTTATGTTCTCTAGTTTGTTGTGAGAATTGATCTAAGTATCCTTGTGCACCTAGTTTCAACTGTCGTGGTCTCTATTTCGCACAGTTACCAAAAGGAAGTTATTTGTACGCGCTCTCTATTTAGTATTTTCTATGTCTTTGAATTACTAGAGTAATGCATTCAAAATCACTTTCAATATGGTTGGTTCCAGGCATGAACTTCGACGGCAACTTTGTGTAATCGCGTGTCATAACGTTGATAATAGTGCTGTCCAGCGTAATTTGCGCTGTTAGATTTTACAAATAACTCGCAGGAGCTCAATTGTGGTGCCTGCCAAGAAACGGAGTCAAACGTGCTGCAGGCATTAATCCACTGCAGCAAACGTAATACTCATTTAAAGACCGTAAAGTCGTCACTTGCAGTTTTATTGGTAATATGGGTCTACATTAATTAACGTAATGCATATTACGTAGAATAGCCAGTACGGAAACCACGTTGCTCAGGGTGAATTACAGTTACCTTCCCAGATGAAAACTGAATTCGGAAGTATAAATAAGGTCAGTAGTTTTCTGGATGCTGGAAGTAAGCAAACTAGCATGTAAGAGAAAACATCTACAGGATCCTTATCACTCTATAGGAGTAGAACTATGTATTTCCGTAGTTTTAGGCGGCTTAGTAGCAAACACATAATCCAAGTTGCATCATTTGAAAATATGCATATTCTCCTTTGCACTGTAAAATTCTCTTCCGCGTCAGAAATAAAGATAATTAGACATAAGTAGTAACTTTACAAGATTTATAAGTAAAATATTTTAAAAAAAGGAATCCGCAGATTTTAGTAACCTTTGCGATAGCCCTTGGTGCCAATGCTGTCTGTTTTATTTATTTAAAAGAAAATCTGCCGTTCTTGTTCGCATTATGAAAATAGATAATATAAGCTTTTTGGCTGATAATCATAGCATTAGAATACGTAACAATAACTCTGAAAACAAATTTAAAAAAATGCATAGGACAAACAGTGAGTTTGACAATGGCAGTAATAAAGCAATAGACTCACTTAAACGAGTAAATCATATCTTTGATCTTCTTATATATTTGTTGATGTAAACAATTTTTTCCGTGAGAAATTAGTTCTAGTAGAAATTCATATATTAATAAATGTATTAAGAATCAGAGGAATTTTTCGATAATTTGTAAAAGATAGATGTTAACATTTTATTTGCAGATACTTGGTATTTTTAGATACTTCTATTTCAGCTTAATCTGGTCTTAAAATATTTGTATATTTCATAAATGAAAATATACGACTTCTCTTGCACTGTAAATACGGAACAATGGCAATTTTTTCACCCGTATCTTTCTATATGTTTTAGCTCTTATTTTTATAATTTTATCTCATTATATAAAAAGAAACAAAAACATTTGATTCTCTAGTTCTAAAATTCAAACTCACCAGTTCGTCATTAATATACCATCGTAGTGTGGCAGCAGGTTTGGATTTCGATGAGGTACAGTTGACCGATACTGTATCACCAACTCTGTACTTAGACATGCCTCCGGTAATTCTGGGTCCTTCAGTTGGCAAAACTGTAATCAAATGAAATAAAATGGCATTAGGAATTTAACTGAGTAAAAAAGAGTTAACTGTTATTTATGTACTACACCTACACTCGTGTGCAAAATTACGAGAATTTGCAAATTGTGTCTATTTTTATGAAAGGATTGAACCAAAGCTACTAATTATGTTGCCGAAGAATTATGAAAACAATTTAGAGTCAAATACATAAGTGTACACATACGTGCAAGCGGAGCTCTGATTATGGAATGGATGTAAGTGTATGACTGCTTTTCGGTTCATATTCCTTCACGATATTCGCTGTGTTTCTCGCAAGAGTGTGTAAATTTTATAACGTATCAAGAAAAGTGAATAGCCTTGAACGTATGGATGAAGGAAAGGGATACAGAATTATCGGTACATTGGAGACATTGCAATCAAAAACGCAGGCGGCTAAAGAGCAAAGTGTAACGCAAAGTGCCTTCTGCAATATGTGGAAACAATTTCAGGACACTGGATCTGTATCGAGAAGACCTGGGCAAGGTCGACCAAGATCCACAACGACGAATGAGGATCTTTATTTGTTTTTTTCAGCGCGGCGACACAAGAGTTCTACAGCTTGACAGGTCAGACGAGAGATGTATGCTGCCGCTGGAACATAAGTCTCACATAATATAGTTTCTCGAAGCCTTCATGAGATGGGACGGAATGCCAGAAGACTCACTGTTCGTGTCCCGCTTACTGCAGCTCACAAGATAGTGCGTTTAGCCTGGTGCAGAAAACATTCTTCTTGGACCAGATTCAGTGGAGCACCTTGCTTTTTATAGAGGAGTCGAAATTCAGCTTGCACACTGATTCTCGCGTAACTATATCTGGAGAGAGCCTATAAGAAGATAACATTCTACCCTAATAAGAAAACAGTATCATTATGGTGATGGAGGTGTAATGGTTTAGGTAGGTATTATATAGCACAGCCGACAGCCCTGCATGTGTTTGATTAAAGTAAGGACATTCGCCTCATGGATTGGCCAGCCAGATCTCCTGACTTTATAAAGCATGTTTGGGACATTCTTGGGAGGGCAATTTCATCTCGACATTCCTTTCAAAGAACCATCCCAGAGTTGAAAACTGCCTTTTTGCGGGAGTGGGATGGACTGTCATAGGCACTCCTCATATGCCTTCTGTCCAGTATAGCGGCTCATTGCGCAACCTGTGTAGCTGTGATAGGGGACTGTATCTCATATTAGACTCATTTTCAATTCGAAATTACAGCTTGGGTTTTGGATATCCCTGCATTATGGACTTATAATCATGCGTACATAAAATGATTTGAATAGCACGTCACAAATGCATAGTCATATCAAAGTTCATTAAAATCTGTCCATTAATGTCCCATTCGACATAAAGTGCAAATTTTCGTAATTTTACACAAGATTGTATGTTTTTAAGGTTCTGATTGCCATCTATTTTAATCTTATTTTCAGTCTTAAGCATATTTTCTGTTCTGTTTCTTCCCTTTTTGAACGGGAGAAAAAAGAATATTTTATGAAAGGATTACGTACCGGCAAAATGTAATTTTGTTGGTTGTTTAGATGTGTCAATTAAATTGAAAGAAAACACGATCCTTTTTTCCCTAGCTATTGGATCAAATCTAAACTTGCCGTCAGATTATTTTCAGCATGATTTTATTCATACAAATAACAGATGTAACTTATATTAATAATTGGAAAAAGGGAAGACTGTTAGTTTCATCAAATAACTTGTTTGTATCTTTCAAGCAATCAATAACTTTTATCAAAACTGTTAGTGAATGCACTGCATCAGAAAAATGGAATTCTAGTTTAAAATCTAGTTTAGAATTCCTCTCATCATTGAGTTCTTTTACTCAGATTATTTTCAAATCTTTATTAGCTCGAAATTACGTGTATTTAAATTGCTGCATGTTTGATATCTTTGTTATGTACGTAGAAATTTGTTTGTGATAAATCTATGAGCTGTTAATTGTTTTGAAGTGTGTATGTGGCAATGTACGGATGATATCCTGAGATAAGTCGATATTACTACTGACTAGAAAATTATAATATTGCTCATGAAATGAATGATTTCTGTAATAAACTACACGTCGATTAGCACAAATTACATTATTGAATGATTACTGTAATAAACTATTGTCTTTACGTACTGATTGATGGTTTTATAAGCTTATACATTAGGTACCAACTAACTTTGATCAGTTTAGGATCATGATGAGATTTTTGTGTCTATTTGTGTCACATTCACGGACACTAGAATTGCGTTAACTAATTTTTTATTTTTTATTCCAAATCTCTTTTGAAGTACAAGAGAACAGAAATTAATATTCTACAGAAATTTCTTGTAGATAATTTTTGTAAATTCCAGCATATAAAAAAAATTAAAAATAAGGGAGGGGGAAGTTTACGAAAATGACTTAAGACTTCTTATCAATTCAGCTTATAGACATTCCTAGTAAAAGTTAGAAATTTTTAATGCAGATTGTTCAATGTAATAGTCTTAAATCTATTTGGTTCCTATTCTATGGTAATTCTGAAATCAATTCCTAGCTAATCAGTGTTTAAATAGTTATATCTGCTGAGCCAGCTGATGAACTGCCATAATCTAATTAACAAATTCAAACTGCATATTTTGTTTTAATTGCAGCTCTCTTAATCTCTATTATTCTGAAATGTAAAGGCTGAAGAGGTTTCAAGAATTATTTTCGTATTACTGGAAGTATCATTGTCGAATTGAAATACTTCATGTTATTTGGGCAATTAAACACTTAAAATTGTGGAACAAAAGCTAATATTTGAAATTTGACCAAAGATCACTAAATGATGCCATGTTGCTTATAACGGACATCTAGAAAGATTGAACTACTAACTATCTATAGAAGAAGTTTACAGCTCTAGTTTAAAATAAGGAAGGCTTTTGAGATGAGGTCAATTCTGGCTACACGATCCTTTTAATATTATACAAAATTTAATCTTTTATATTGCACATCTACGGAGGAAGATCTAATTAGTAAAGAGTTCCTTATTCTATTGCAGGCTTTACAAAACTAGATTAAGGTATAATATTGACGCCGAAAACACTACCAAACTTATGCGTTATACCATTTTCACTAAATAAAAAGGACACATATCAGTTTTAGGGGACGTTTCGGTTTCGATTTAGTTGGTTATGGCATAACCCACTAAGGTTATCTGCCCAAAGTGAGGGATGACTTCGTGAGGACTTTCTAAGGAAAGTTGACTCATATGTTACCTTACACATGGGGCAAAACCACGAAAGCACCAATGCAGCCAGCCCATTCGCTTGGAATCGAAACCAGGTTGGAACTAATGTTCAGGGATTTTACGTTTTACGGAACGGTATTTTACGGAACCTGAACTAATGTTCAGGGATTTTACGTTTGGGCGCTGGGGGTTACTTTAGTTGTTGTATAAAAACCAGTTCTTATAATTTAAAAACTTCTCTTTAAATCGGGTCACGAATTGAAACCCTTGCATCTAGTCACGTTTATTCTGAATGAAAAGGACATTTTAGAAGTATTTTCATTCAATAATTTGCATATGTCGCCTTAAAAAATATTTGTGTAGAATTCATAAAAATTTAAGTTTTATCTCGTTAATCCGAAATTATATAAAAAGGAACTTTTTTATGTAATTCAGTTAGTAATTAGCGAACTTTCCTTATTGACCTTTGTTTTATGGGGGATTGTTATAAAAATGTAATTCAGTTTAATTTTTTCAAATAAATATTTCACCTGTTTAAAATCGTCAGTATATGAAACTTATATGCTTTCTTTGATTCACTTATTGAATTTCCTTATATTGATTATCGTAAATCAAGAGAGTGGCTTGTATTAAATTTAATAAGGCTAAAATTACGACTTAACAAAATTCTGTTGCCGAATAAGAGTAGAGAGAAAATTTTTAGTTTTGTTGATTAGTAATGATTAGGTACTGTTCACAACTAGGAAATTGTCACTGTAGATAGCAATTAAAGTATTTTCAAATTGTCCTAAATTGTTTAAACTGAAATTACACATGTGTGTAGAAAACAGTTATTCTCTTTAGATAGATAAAGCAATTCAAAAGGACAATCCATGCAATAGCTCGTAGATTTAGTAATTAAAAGTAGACGAACTGATTCTGCTGTATTTGATAGAGGGTTCAGTAAAGCCTTGATGGAGGGTCTAGACAGATGGAATATTTTTATTACATTTACAAGTTATTGTTAGATAAATGCAATATTTTCAGTCTGTTTGTCCATACAAGCGCACGAACTATTATAGTGATTAATAGACGATGTCCTCATGTAAAAGTTTCATTTAGTTCAGTTACGCATATAAAATGGTAACATAAATTGTCTATACATCAGTTTGACTTTAATTAATTCACCGTTTATCAGACGATTCGATTAGATGAGGTCTGTTGTCTGAAACAAAGTTCTGAATAATTTTGGATACAGAATAAACTATAACAATACTACACTCTAAAATGAACTTCAGGAAGCTAAATGAAATAGTGAATACCACTCATAAAGCATATATATTTAAATATTTTATCGAGTCCACTTCGAAATAAATTGACTCATAAATTACGCTTCATTTTCATTCAAGAAGCCATTTCTCTCATATAATTTTTATTTTAAATATGCTAATTACTTAAAAATATGGTGCAATCAGTTTTCATTTTGAGTTTTCTAAGAACAAAATCAACTCAATTTTGAGTTTTCACTTAATTTTTATATTATTATCTTGCACTTTTGACAAAATCTTTTAGTTTCAAAAGCGTCCGTGAAGTTTCGACAAGATATGAGACAGTACTATAATATTCTCTAATCCACATACAATTTTCCTCTCACAATTTAATTAGTTTAATAGGTAACGATAATATGACACTAAGATTCTACTAATTCTAGTTCTTTTTTTTTAAAATATACACTGGTGTGCAACAATTAAGGACGAGACGGTTTTTTCAATATAACTTTGTACAAAAGCTTTCCA